GTGTCAGAAAGTATGAAGATGGCACTGGATAGAAAAGGGTTCAGATCTTTTGTTCATAAGGTCGCTATGAGTCGTACTTGACTCTACAACACCTAACAACAGCAACAGCATTGCAGTTTACTGATGTGCTGATACGTTATGGAGTACTTCACATATATTATTTTTCTGGGACAAAAATTGCTTGCTTCCTTCATGGTTGCCAAGTTGATTGTAACTCAGAGCAGATTTCTGAACTTGTAAGTCTCAGCGAAAACAGTTCATCTTTCTCCTACAGAGCTACTGGTGGGTTCCAACATCCATGATGTGTGGTAAAAGCACTATGAACTACACCACTGGAGAAAAGGACAGTTATCCCCGTTTCACAGACAGAGAAGCTGAGTCTGGAAGAATAGAAATAGCTTGTGAAGACCAAGGGAGCTCTGGTGGCCTAGTCCATTAGGGAGATGTGCTGCTAGCTCAAAGGCCACGTCTTTCAGGTGGTTCAAATCCACCAGCAGCTCCAGAGGAGAACAATCTCTTCTACTGTGATTTACAGCCTCCAAAACCCAGTGCAGAGTCAGCTTTGAGTAAGTTGCAAGGCAACAGCAATGAATTTGAGTGTGAGTTTGTGCCAAGATTTTCCCTAGACTCTCTCTCTCCAAACTTGGGCTTTGGCTCCTTATGTTCTGGTTTTCAACAAAAGGAAGGGCAAGGAGCTGAAAGTCTCCATTTTCAGGTTAACATACTTGGAAGCTAACCAAAAGGTCAGAGGTTTGAACCCACCAGATGCTCCACAGGAGAGAGATGAGACATTCTGCTTTCATAAAGATTTATAGCAGTTCTGTTTGTCCTCCAGCGCTTCTATGAATCAGAATCAACTTGAAAGCAGCAAGCTTGAGTCTTTTAATTGTGTTTGTGTTTTTGTTTGTTTGTTGTTGTTGGGGTTTTTTGGCTTAAACTAAGACATGGAACCCATAAAATGCTTGATCAATAAAGTACAGGTTGGAGGCACCTTAGAAGAAAAATCTGACAAACCACTTCCCAAAAAAACCAGTCTTTGAAATCCCTGCAGAACAGAGTTCTGGTCAGACATTCATGGGAGCTTCCAGAGCCAGAGACAACTAACTAACTTGTGGTGGCAGCAGAAATGAAGACACCTCCTAGATAAAAGTAAGAACAAAGAAAGCCTCTGGACAGAAATGAGTTTGTGACTTGAACACAGTTTGGCTGGCTTCAAGCTGGATGGTAAAAGAAGCATTTGGCTGGGCATTACACGTGTGTTCTTGCCAGAAAATAAGCACTGAGATTCTGTGTCTTTTCTAACATTTAGTAAAGACTTAGAATTCCCCATGCTGGACAGGCCAGCAGAACTGCGTGTGTTTTTTCTGCTGTAAAGTTGAGAGCAGTTGTTCAAGCAAGTGAGACACTGATGCTGCATCCCAAGGCTCCTTGGAGCACCGGACAGAACTGAGCTCCAAAGGGCATAATTATGGGAATTTAGGGGAAACTCCAAGCCCCCTGCCTGAGCTCCACCCTGCAAACTTACTCCCAGGAATCCTTGCATGAGACTCACACAGCACACCCTGGGCTTGCCTCCTCCTGAGCTAGACAAAGACAAGCGTTTCCAAGCCCGAGGATGTTCCTTACCCTGTGCACTGACTCCAAGGCCAAGGACCGAAGCTCTAGCTTTCAGAGCAGGGAGAACTTCAGGTCATGACCATTAGCATAACTTTAGCATAACTCTGACCCTACTGTACAAAAGAATTGCTTTTTTTAAATTTATTACCATTACTGAACTTGATTAAAATCAGGGATACCTGGGGCTGTCTTGAGGTATCATTTATAGTGCTGTCTACACATCAAGCTGCACTCAGAAACCCTCAAAATTTCACAGCAGGTGTAAATGAAGACCACTCAAACAAGTCCCCTCTCTCCATTCTGTTACTGCTTGCTTCAGTAGCAACTACACTTTTATTCAAATAATGCATCCATTATACAGTTTTTCAAACTGTGCATCCCTCTGAAATATTAGTCCCCTGTATGTGCTATGTGCTTTTTAAGCATGTAGCTACTATTTGCACAAGTGCATTACATGCAAAAATTGTGTGTGTGTGTGTGTGTGTGTGTGTGTGTGTGTGTATCTCACCTACTATGCCAAGAACAATACTAGGCACTGGAGGCAGAGACAATTAAGATATGGTCCTTGCCATTCAGATTGTTTACATTCTAGAAGGAGAGAACCAGGCATGTAGGTGTGAGGAGGTAGAGGAATGGAAGCAATCCTGGGAAGTGAGAAATAGGTGTCTGAGAGAGTCAAGCAAGGCTGACAGAGAAGCTGATACACCAGTTAAGCTTTGAAGGATGAATAGGCAGGCATTTAGCCATGGAAAGTGGAAGAGACCGTAGTCTCAGAAGCAGACAGAACACTGTCAGAAGCTCCCCTTTTAATTATTACCCACTTGTAGTTTATCATGGTCATTTATTTGCTGCTCTGCTTCTGGAAGATACGCTATGAGACTAGGAAGAAAGTTCTAGCAATCAGCTTCAAAAAAATTAGCCAATGAAGACCCGGTGTATCCCAACAGGACATTGTCTGACTCATCATCTGGATTTGGACACGTTATCAAGAGAGATCAGCCCCTGGCGAAGGTCGTCATGTTTGCTGAAGGAAACGTTCGGTGAGCTGGATCAGCTTAATAGTCATGGTGATGAACTCAAGTACACTGATGACGGTGAGGGTGGCAAACGACCGACTGGGGGAGGTTTCATTCTGTCTTGAGTTGGAGTGACCTACATATTTATCTATTGATCGATCACTCGATCTATCGATACTTCTACTTATCTACATATCTGTCCCACTGAGAAATTTGGCTACACACATTTTATATCATCAGCATCTCACAGAAGCTTGAGAATAAAGACCAACTCTGATGTCTGTACAAACAGCTTCCCTTTCCAGCTCTTTGCTTGAATTTCCATGAGTCTCTGGCCTCCTTGACTCAGAGACCTTCTGCTCCTAATTTTGGCCTCAGAACCTTGACCCCAATAATGGGTATCTGACTTTGACCCTCTGGACCCCTTTGACTTTCTCCTCCTCTTCTCTTAGTTTCCTTCCTTTCCTCATTCCTTGCACCCCACCCTCATCATCCCTAACCTGGGTTAACATGCTTTACCTCCCTGCCTCTGGCTTCAGGCCTGACCAGCAGAAGAAAATGGAACAGTAAAGCTGAACTAGAAAAGCAGCATGAACTAGAACCACTCAGCCCCTGTGTGTGTGTCTGTGAGAGGGGAGTGTGACATGGAACAGCAGGGACCTTGCCATTTGAAGGGGAAATTATGTAACAACGAGTGATTTTTTTTTTAAAGAAAAAAAATGAACTGGGGGTGTAGGGAGGAAAATGTGCAACAATGAATGAATGAGAATCCAACTTTTCTGTAAACTTTCATTAAAGTCACAATTAAAAAAAAAAATTAAATCCCTGGCTAAAAAGGCCAAACAGAAGTTTTTTCTTTCTCCATCTGGAAACTTTGAGTTGCCCAGCAAATACTAATTATAACATAGCCTTTGTCGAGAATTCTGTCACCTTGGAACCAAGAAGAGGAAGCCCTAGCCCTCTCGGAGAAGTCTGCCCAGCAGGCTTGGAAGTCGATACCCAAAGACCAGCTCTGGCTTCCCGGTGACCACTCGCCACCTATACTGGGACCCAGCACTCGCCTCAGCTGCCCACAGGTCACAGTGACCTGTTTACAGACATCTAGAATTCCAAGGCACTTTTAGGACAAGAGACTTGGGATGTTCCCAAGTGGGCAGCAAGGTCTTCTCTGGGAGAAGCTGCTCTTTGCGATCTATTTATACTGCTGTAAACATGCGCCAAGGAAACAAGGCGTGTGCGCATGCGCCACTGCAGAAGGCAACTGGAAGGTCACATGTCATAACAGTGGAAAGTACATATGCAAGTATTCTTAGCCCTGGAATGTATACACTGTCTCCTGCCCAGCAGCCCTTCCACAGAGCTCCAAAAAACTGTGATCGGGCCTTCAGCATAAACAAACCCAGAAAGCTCCCAGAACAGGACTTTGCCTACTGAAACAAAGGCCTGGCCATCTGGTTTCTTCAGAACTGGAGGTGGACACTCTCTGAAGACACAGACGGCCCAGCCATCGGTGGATGTCATCGCTGTGAAACAGGTACGCACCCCTGCCCTGAATTCGCCTGCTGGGAGCCTGCCAGAGGTCACCCAGTAAAGCCTGGCCCCGTTGCTATTTGGTTTCTGCTTTCTTTTGAACTCATTTTAAAAACTAAACCAGAGAGGTTCAGCAAAGTCATGCTTCCAAGGAAGAATTGCAAAGACTCATTTTCATGGATCATTTCTGTCTAGGTACCAGAGGGCCATGTCCCCAGAGTGACAAGGCGGGGTGTGGGGGGACACGAGGATAAATTCCCAGAAAGAGATGTTTAGATGTCTTTCCTAAACATCAAATATGTCCAGTATCTGGGGCCAAGCTCAGCTATTTCTGCTGGTCAAGTAGCTTGAATATGAATTCGCTTCAAGGCCCTAATACTCAAGAAACTTTCAATGACTTTCTTTGTCTTTCTTTTTTTTTTTTAATTTTTGTGTGTGAGTGTACCGTCAAATCAGATCTGACTGGTACAGGAGGAGATTGTCCCTCCTTTTCCTGGCAGAGCATCTGGTGGATTCGAACCGTGTGCCTCTGGGATTGTAGTTGCAGCTCCTTGCCACTAGGCCACCAGAGCTCCCCTTCTTTGTCTTTCTAATTAACCAAAGATCCAATTTCCATGTTGTTGTTGTTACTACCTTTGTGAAAAATCAAAGCCAGAAAAGAGAGCGTCTGTTTTAAGTCTTCCCAGTCTTTACTGAGTGACCCTCTGGGCCCCACCATCACCCATCTACGTGAATGCACATGGATGCATTAAGGCTTAGAGCCCTCAAACCCTCCAGCACATCCTAACAAAGCTTTGACTCTTGCTCCCTCTTGGAGCTTCTGCCCCTCTTTGTAGGATGGACGAGGAGTCACTGGATGGACTGCTCTTCAAAGACCAGGACTTCTCCTCTGACCTGTTGAAGCAGCTCAATGGTTTAAGACAAAGCCGGATCCTGACAGATGTGAGCATCTGTTGCAGTACCTGTGAGGTTCCCTGCCACCGAAACGTGCTGGCTTCCAGCAGCCCCTACTTCAGGGCCATGTTCTGCAGCAACTTCAAGGAGAGCAGTGAGGCCAGAGTCGAGCTGAAGGGCATTGACTCCACCACTCTACACCAGGTCATCCTCTATATATATACTGGGGAGGCCCGCATCACCGCCGAGTGTGTCCTGCCCTTGATGGAGGCAGCCTCCATGTTGCAGTACCCCAAGCTCTTTGAGGCCTGTTCCTCATACCTCCAGAGCCAGCTGACCCCCAGCAACTGCCTGGGCATGATCAGACTTTCTGAAGTCTTCAGCTGCGGGACCCTCAGGAAGAAAGCCAGGGAGATGGCCCTGAAGTGCTTCCCAGAGGTGGCCTCGTCGGCAGACCTGAAGGAACTCTGTGCTTTGGAGCTGAGGGATTACCTCGGAGATGACGAACTCTGGGGTGAGGAGGAAAAGGTGTTTGAGGCGCTCATGGCTTGGGTCAGGCACGACCTCGAGGCCCGGAAACGCTATATACAGGAACTGTTCAAACAGGTCAGGCTTCAGTACGTCCACCCTGCCTTCTTCTACCACTTCATCGCCAGTGACACCCTCCTTCAGACGTCCCCTGCATGCCAGGCCATCCTGGAGACGGCCAAGAGGCAGATGTTTTCATTATGTGGCACCAGTGTCCCAGACCTCAAGCCTCTGTGTCACGTCCCTCCCAGAAACTCTTACCAAGATTTCCTCATCCTCGTGGGCGGGAGGAAGGACAACCAGCAGACCACCAGGGATGTTCTGCTCTACGACAGACAGACAGGTCAATGGCAGGATCTGCCCAAACTCCCAGCCCGTCTATATAAGGCTTCAGCGGTCACCTTGCACCGCAGTGTCTATGTCACTGGGGGCATGGCTGTCAGCGCTGGGAAGAGTCTTGTCAGCCCTAGTGTTTACATCTTCTCCCTGAAACTCAATCAGTGGCGGCTGGGGGAACCCATGCTGGTGGCCCGCTACTCCCACAGAAGTGCCACTCATAAGAACTTTATCTTCTCCATTGGTGGGCTGGGAGACAGGCAGGAGGTCCTGGGCTCCATGGAGAGATATGACAGCATCTGCAATGTGTGGGAGAGCATGGCCCACATGCCAGTGGATGTCCTCCACCCCGCGGTGGCTGTGAAAGACCAAAGACTCTACCTCTTTGGGGGAGAGGACACCATGCAGAACCCTGTGCGCCTTATCCAGGTAAATGTCTGTCTTTAGGTCTTGTAAGTGCTGCATGCGTGTACCCTTCACACACACACACACACACACACACACACACACACACACACACACGCACATACACACCCCTCTCATTTGTGAAGGAAGAATGGAAGGAAAATTTTCAACAAGATTTCATCCGTTTATGAGTTCTTTTTAGGCTCATTCAATTCATACAAAATATATCAGATACAAACCACTTTCACAAAGAGCTCATCTGTATTTGCAAAAAGAGAAAGAACTCAAACCCCTAACAATTCAAGATGTTGTTGTTGTTATTAAGTGCCGTCGAGTCATAGGTGACTCATAGTGACTCTATGAACGAAAGACCTGAACACTTGTATAACTTTCATCGTTTTTGCAAGTTCATAGGGTTTCCAGAGGCAAGCTGTTTAGGAAGTGGATGCCACTCCTGCTTTCAAGCTTGTTTTAACAAGGGAGCTCCACCAAACACTGTCCACCATGGGTGACCAATACTGCATTTGGCACATCAGGGTCACAGTGTTCAGCATCACAGCAACCATGAGTTACCTCTGTACAGCAAATCGACAGACCAGTGCCATACCACCTAGAAGAATGTCTGACCAAAAACAATTAAAAGCAGGCCTGAGGAACTCAGATTAAAATCACCCACCTAGCATCACTTTCTGTCCATTAGACCAACTGAGCTCTCTCTATGTTGTTGTTGTTGTTGTTTTTGTTGTTAAATGCGTTGTCAAGTGTGGACAATTCAAGATAAAACTCATTTACTATCAGATAATGAAGCTCTAAAGGAATCCATCAGCTACTTCTAAGACAAATAAACACAACCCTAAAAGAAGATAAACAAACAGGTCTGTCCTAGAGAGGGTGAAGCCAAGTCTCTACTTGGAGGCTTGGATTTTGAAACTCCATCTCACATACTTTGGGCAAGTGGCCAGGAGAGACCAGACCTTGGGGAAGGACATCATGCTCAGAAGGGTGGAGGGACAGCGCAGGAGAGGAAGACCCCAGATGAGATGGATTGATACAGTGACTGGGGCAATGAGAGTTGGTATGTTGGAATTAGTGAGACTGGCTCTGAACAGGAGAGGCTTGAGAGCTGCTGTACGTAGGGTCACTATGGTTCCCAGGCGACTTGATGGCACATAACAACAACAACAATAACAAAAGAAGATTCATAGCTTGACTGTTCCCTAACTCCCCAACTCCACTTCAGAACCTCAGAACCAAAGTCTTCTAGAGTAGAGTCCTCACATTTGTGATTTCCTGAAGAATGTAAGGTACAGTCAGATTGAGGAACCTCTACCTTATAAGACATTTTGCTTAAAGCTTTCAGAAAAGTAGGGTCAATAAGGGTAAATATTTCCAAAATTTAAACTGTTTTCCGATATGATACAAGTTCTGGTCCTCTGCAGCTCATCTTATGATAATGGAAAACTTGAATAACAAATCTGTCTGTAAAGACCCTCAAGGAGGCCACCGGAGACTTGCTTAGTTCTCTTCTAGGTAATAATTACACTGAGTGTTGAACACTGAGGACACAGACATGAGCACTGAGTTACAAATGTCCTCAAGGAGCTTACAAGACACTGACAGTTCAGATGTTGCAATGGAAGAGTGCTCTCAGAGCAAAACGAGAATCTGAAGCCAGTCGAGAGAGAGAGTTCAGAGAACTGTGCAGAGAATCCTGTGAGCTTGGCTAACAGTACATGGGCAGAAGAGAGAAAGGGCAGGTGGATGCCAAGAGTACAGAATAGAGGGATCAGGCATGCAAGGTGAGGTGAAGAAGCGTCTCTGAACATACAGCCTTGCATCTGCCATCATCATCGGGGGGAGTCGAATTATGTTTTGGGAGAGAAGAAATGTTCCTGGGTGAGGCAACAGCTTGTGCAAAGGCCCTGCAGCAGAAAGGGGCAAAGTCTATTGCTTTGAAGAACTGAAAGGATGAGCTGTGTGGTTGGAACATGGAGCAAAAACAAGATAGATGGTGTTTCCAAGAGTAACTGGAGTGGGGCCAGTTATCTAGTAACCAAATAGGTCAACTCCAGCTCATGATGACCATGATCTGGACAAACCCCAGACCTCCCTGTTAGCAAGTGAACACATCAACCTTTGCACCATCTAGGACAGAAGGCTCTCTTTCTCTCATCATCTCCTTCACACCACTTGCCAAGTTACCGAGCAAACTTGTGATCCCAGACTGCTGTCCTTACGCCCCTCCCACACAGAAATTCCAGAAGGAGCAGGTCAGGAGATAAAGTTGGTCTGGTGGAGTGTGGTGGGCCTTGTCAAGGAATCAAGTGAATAGTCCGAGAGTTTTGGGGCATCATTAAAGGGTGTCACACAGGGGAGTTAAGGAATCCTCATTTGCATTTCTGTATATTCTCCCTGGATACTGTGGAGAATAGAGTAAGTGAACAAAGGGAAGTGGATGGATGGATGGATGGATGGATGGATGGATGGATGGATGGATGGATGATGGAGGATGGATGGATGGATGGATGGATGGATGGATGGATGGATGGATAGGTGTATGGATGGATGGATGGATAATGGAGGATGGATGGATGATGGAGGATGGATGGATGGGTGTATGTATGGATGGATATCCGGATGATGGAGGATGGATGGATGGAGGATGGATGGATGGATGGGTGGATGGATCAAGAGATACAGATGGCGTGAACTAGGTTGGTGCCGAGGGATGGAGGAACATCACTTCAGTCTCCTCATTTTCTCTTGCCTTCACCCTTGAAGCTCCTTTTCTTGATTGCTCCTTTTTAAGCACCAAGGTGGATTCTTAGTCTTCCCAGAGTTCAAGTCCTACTTCCACTCACTTAATAGACCCAAAGAGACATCCTCGATTGCCCTCCATGCTACAGCCTCAGATGTAGATGAAGGCTTCCTTTGATTTTCAAAGGTGTGCTTTATGCAACTTGGTTTTTATGAAAGACTTTTAGCCCAATTGGACATCCACAGGGAGTTGTGCTACTAGCCTGAAGGCAGTGCCTCTCTGGAGGTTTGAATCTACCAGAAGATCCTTGGAAGGAAGTGGGAAACCTTGTCCAGTGCCATTTATGGTCTTGGAAAACTGCTGGACGGTTTTGAGACTATTCCAACTTGACAGCAATGAGTTTGAGTATTTGAGTTTTTTAGTAAAAAATCTTGATACTTTTTTACCTCCTAAGAGGAAATCTGAGGAAGCTCTCATAGCCTAAAGGTAAAGAGTTGTGTTGCCAACTCAAGTGCATTCAGTTCGAATCCACCAGCTACTCCACAGAAAATGATGGGTAATCTCCTTCCATGAGGTTTACTGCATCTGAAAACCCACTAGAGGGTCAGCTATGAGTTGGTTATGATTTGTCAACACACAACAACAAAAAGAAACAAGAGGAAATCTTAAGAGGATTTTTGTTTTACTGGGAAAATGCACAAAGCAAAACTAAGTAAGGCACTAAAGAAGCAGCTCCCACCCCAGCAGTGAGAGTGCTGTCCCCGGGCTCCGGCCCCAGGACCATACACAGCAGATCAGTCTCAGGCTGTGTCACACTGAGCCGTGCCCAGCAACGCTAGAGTTGGTGCTGGTGTAGGTTTATGTGTTATCAACCATGATTTGGCAGACTGTCTGGGGGTCTGGAACATAAAGAATTTTTCTGATATAAACAAATACTCATTTTTTCTCTTTTTTTTCCAACCAAGCCTTAAAAAAACAATTAATTAAACCAATTCCCCCCCCTTCTACTGTTTTGGCTATGAGAAGCTCCATCAGAATGCTCTATTTTCTGATGGTGAGGTGGTCCTGCATAATGAAATATTTCTATATAAAGCTAGAACACCTCCTTCTTTCTTGGATGTTTTTCAAACTCTGGTTGACAAATTGGTTGATGATTTCACATTGCAAAATTACCTTCAGCTTCTTAAGACAAAAATAGAAAACTCAAAAGGCTTTAAATTGACCTATTAATTCATTCAAACAAGGTTCGTGTGGAGCTCCCTCCCACCACACACACACACACACACACACACACACACACACACACGACCCTCGGCGTGGCAGCAGTTAATAGTGAGTAAAAGCACTAATTCAGATAGTTTTCTTATCCACACAGCACTAGCTCTGAAATGGAGATTTGACTCATTTGAATAGTTTAAGATGAATTCTTGGGGTTACCTGATGAGTTGCCACAAGGGCTCTGGATGGTTCGCAGACGTCCTTTAAAGAATTGAAGCCACAGTGGGATTGCTTTGCAAACTGTGTGGGCACCTCTATCTTGCCTTTCAATCTTACTATTTTGGGGTGACACCAAGTGCATCCTTTACCATAACCAAGTGTTTTTGTTCCATTAGTCAAACACTGTCCTTTGTTATCCTGGCCGCAGCCTCTCCCTGGTATTATAAGGATTGTGAACAAATGTTTCATCTATTTTTGAAACCAGATGATAGAGAACAGAAAGCCAGGAGGCAATTACTCACCCGAGTAAAATGCAACCAGTGTTTGCTTTTTCTCCAAGGACTCCCCTGTTCTTTCCAAAGAGTCCTACCTGTTTGCAGGTAAAGCCATGAAGAGGCACTATTCTGTGGTTCTTCATCTCTGGCACTTGGCCTCTTGTATGCTTTGCTGACTTGAGATATTCCAGAGACCTGAAGAGTCTCCGCTCTCTAAACACCTCCTTCAGGAAAGTCCAATGGGTCGCAGACAGTGCCACGGGTGCGGTAGTGAAGAGCACGGCCCCTGGACTTCACCAGACCACTCTTCTCCTCACTCCCAACTGTGGGACCTTGATCATGCACTTAACTTCTCTTCACCTCAGGATTCTAATCTGAAAAGAGAAGTAAAAACTCATGTCATCGAGTCTATTGTGACTCATAGAGAAACTATAGACAGTAGTATTGGCCATAGGGTCTCCAAAGCTATATTCTTTGCAAAAGCAGATTGCTACAATTTTCTCCTGCAGAGCAGCTGGTGAGTTTGAACCACCAACCTTTAGATTAACAGTCAAGTGCCTTACCACTGTGACAAAAGAGTTTCTTGGGAAAGTAATAGTGTTTACCTGACAGGATGGTTGTGATACTCAAGTTCGAGAAATAATCAAAGTAAAGCCTTTTATACTGCTAGCAATTGCACTATCACAACAACAAAGAGATGGAAGCAACCCAAGTGCCCATCAACAAATGAGTGGATGGGAAAACTACGATATATTCACACAATGGAATAAAATGCAGCACTGAAAAACCATGAACTATAAAACATTACACAGTGTGGGTGAGCCTGGAGGACATTATGCTGAAATAGCTCAGTCACGAAAGGTCAAATATTGCATAACACCACTGTTCTAAAGCAGAACTGACATGGGAGGGTTAAAGAGAGAATAGGAAAAGAGTAGATAGATAACAAACACTGCACTGAAAGAGGTGAGAGAAAGAATTGTTGGAAAGGATTATATGATTAGATATTATCTGTAAGACAACAATCTGGAACAAGAGGTGCATTGCAAAGTAGACTAGGGAGGGAGAGAAGAGGGAGAGGGAGGAAATCGTGCAACCATGAATGAATATTTAAGAAAAAGAAAGTAAAGTGGAGGAGGGAAGGAAATATGCAACAATGAATGAATGAAAATCCAACTTTTCTGTAAATTTCCATTGAAAGCCACAATGAAATCTTAAAAATACTGCCAGCAATTATATTGTACACTAAAAGAGTGTCTGGTGAAGGCAAGTACCCCGCCTTTGTCTGCAAATACATATATTTTGGGGTTTTTTATTGAAGTACTTCCGGTATGTCTTCTGCTAAATTTTCCTGTAATGAACTCATTCACATTTGAAATTTTGATTTTTAAACAAATTCATGCTTTAGAAAATCAGGATTTTTTTTTCTTTCTAAAATTTTATCTGAGTGAAAGTTTAAAAATCATATTGAATTTCCATGCAGTCATTCATAAGCATTTTATAACATTAATTGAAACTGATGAATGGAATTAATTATGATGCCCAATTAAAAACTCTTTATTATATGTTGCCTTTAGTGAATTATTACGTGATTCACTCTCTGAGAGAACAACAAAGGAGTAGATGCTCCCTCTCGCCCTGCCTCCTACCCTTTCTCCTTTCTTCCATTTCTGTCAGGCTCTGTAAGGTCAGGCATGCCCTATTCAAAAGCCTACCCCACTTGGTTCAAACTCATCCCTGCTTCTGAGATGCTCTCAGCCCCGGGACACGTATAACCTTAGCAATCAGAGTAACTGGAAATCATTGACCTGATCATTATCCACCAAATACCCCTAACCACCACCGCTGTCAAGTCAATTTCAAGAACTGCCTCATGGGATCTCAAAGATCATAAGTTGTAAATCTTTATGGACTATCACATCTTTGTTCCACAGAACTGGTGGGTTTGAACTACCAGTCTTTTGGTTAGCAGCGGGTCAATTTAACCACTACACAATCAGATATCTTTTCTTTTGTCAATACTTAAGTTTCTCCATTTCTCACTTAAATAAAAAAATGACCCAAGCAGAAAAAGCAAATGCACTATATGCGGCAGAACTCTTGTTTCATTCTATACAAATCCAGCCAGTGATTTCATAGGGTCACATAAAAACCAAGTTTCTAATCACCTTCTTCTGGTTATTAAATAATATTCTGTTTATTGAAAGTACAATAGCTACATGTTAAAAACAGCCCCCAAAAAATGAAAAGAGGAAAATTGCTACCCTGCTTACTACTTGGAAAAAGACATCATGCTGGTAATGTGAAAGGTCAGAGAAGAGAGGAAGCTAGAATGTCACCGTGTCAGTGACAGTGGCCTTGAGGATGATGGAGTTTGTGAGAACGGTACAGAATGGAGCAAGTTCAGACCTGTTGTTCACGGAGTGGCTGTCAGGGCTCAGGAGGCATAGGCCACAGAGGGTTGTGCTCTTAACCCAAAAGCAGTTAAAATCTACCAGCAGTTCCTGGGAAGAACGGTGGACAAGAGCTTCCCATGTGATTTACGCCTTTATAAACCCGCTGGAAGGTCAGCTATTGGTCAATTCCACGTCAACAGCAGTGACCAGCTGACTTTAGTAACTACTCTGCCTGTCTAACTTTAAGATGCAGTGAAATATTACCTTTTTAAATGTTCATTTAACTCACAAAGAAGCATTCAAATGTTTATCCCGCAGGTTTACCACATTTCCAGAAACACATGGTTCAAAATGGAGACGAGAATGATCAAGAACGTGTGTGCCCCGGCTGTGGTGTTGGGGGAGTGGCTTGTCATCGTGGGAGGTGAGTTTAAACAGAGGGTGGCAAGGCTGGACACAAACTTGGCATCTCCTGTGGAAAATAGGGGCCACTAATAGACTAATAGAGGTGGTTGTACCGGTTGGTCTTTATAAAAAGCACAGCCATCCACCCGGGGGGCTGTGAACAGCCTGGTAAAGCTCTTTCTCCATCCAGAAGATTCTCCATGTCATTGTCAGGCAAACAAGAGATAAAATATTACCTATTTCAAAGAGGTCTTGTGATAATTAAACACATCCACACATCTAAGGCTCTTAGCACTACCCCAGACACATGACCAAAGCTCCCAAAGTGCTTCCCGGTGTTATTAATATTAACTACTGTTATTCATCCATCATTCCTACTAGCAATGTAGTGTCAACATGAAGAGAACTGGCTTGGGGGTTCAGTGAGACCTGGGTTCAAATCCTGGCTCTACCACCAACTGGCTAGACACTCTGGCAAATTCTTAAATCTCTGAGTGGCTCAATTTCCTCATCTACAGAACGGGGTTGTAAAATTACCTACCAAGTAGTTTTGTTATGGAAATTCACCCTTGCTCCCAAAGACTTGCTTTGGATTGTTCTAGATTTTAGACGGGAACATGGAAGGGATACAAAGACTAGAAAGACTGAGAAAGTGCTGGAACCAGGAGGCTGCTCACTAGTTTTAAAGAGTGTACATGCTGCCTGTGTTTTGGCTGAAGAACAAAGTCACACAGATCTGGGTTCTAACCCAGCTCTGCCAGGTGCCAGCAGTGTGACCTCAGGCAAGTTACTCTCACACACCGAGTTTTTATTTCCTCTGGGTTGAGGAGCCCCAGGGTTGGTCAATGGCAGTGCCAGGCACGTGCCCAGGACCACTAGCCTCCCTGTGCAAATGAAGAAGGTTGAGCCTCCCAATGTGCCACTTGGTTTTCAGGTTACACACGGAGGATCCTGGCTTACGACCCTAAGTCCAACAAGTTTGTCAAGTGTGCGGACATGAAAGACCGGAGGATGCACCACGGGGCCACGGTGATTGGGAACAAGCTGTATGTGACAGGTGGCCGGCGGCTGACCGCGGATTGCAGCATCGAGGACTCAGACGCCTTTGACTGCTACGACCCAGAGACGGACGTGTGGACGTCCCAGGGGCAGCTACCCTACAAGCTCTATGACCATGCCTGCCTCACTCTGCAGTGCATACCCCACACGCCAGCCTGCTCTTGAAGAGGCTCAAAAGCTTGTCTTAGTCACAAAGCTTTCTGTTGTCGGTGACCACAATCCAAAAGAGACACCAGGCCTGTTGCCGTCAAGCTGTCCAACTCACACTGGCCTCGTGTGTAACGGTACAGCAGTGCTCCTCAGGGCTGTCATCTTCACAGAAGATGCAAATTGCCAGAATTTGCTTCAGTGGGGCCAATGGGGCAGGCTCGAACAGCTAACCTTTATGTTGGTAGCCAAGGACAAACCATTTGCCCCTTTCAGAGACCTTAAGGGGCAGAAACCCAACTGCAAATTACCAGCTCTAAGACACTGATGGATTCAGGGAGTGCTGGTGAAAAGAATGTACCGGAACCTGGCATGGCATCGGTGGAAGTCTCCGTCTGTCTGTCCCTCTTTGTGTGTCTCTGTTTCTCTTTCTCTTCCTCTCCCTGTCTCCTCCCTTCTCTCTCATTCTGACAGCTTTCACTCTATTCCACCACTCCCACTACCCTGTCTTTGCGGGTCTCATTTCATTTACCCCCTCCCTCCACCCATTAAATTGTGCAACTCTGTGATTTTGCCCCTACCCATCCTCACCCCTCTACTTCCACCTCTTCCTTCCTTGGATCTCTATACATGTTTTACTAGTTATCCTTCTATTTTTACAATAATGGTTTTATACAGTATTTGTCCTTAGGAGACTGAGTTTTTTCACTCAGAATAATGCTGTCCAGTCTTTCCCAAGTTATGTAGTATTTTTTTTTTAATTGTTGCTCCTGAGTGCTGCATACTATTCCACTCTGTGATATATTCCACTGTGAATAATACCACAATTTCTCAACCCAATCCGTTGTGGTTGGACAGCTGGGCTGTTTCCAGAGTCTCAAGATGGTGAATAATGCTGCTATGAAGATTGGTGTACAAATCTTTGTTTGTATCTCAGTTCTAATTTCCTTGTGGTATATTCTTTGTAGAATATACCTAGGTCATGCTGCATTTCTATGTTCAGGTTTTTGAGGCAACACTAAACCGCTTTCCAGTGTGGTTGTACCATTCACTCTATTTTTAAAATATGGTAACTGATGAACTCAGATTCTCCTTCTAACTTCTCGTCTCAAGAGTCAGCCTTCTCTATCATTGTTCATAAATGAATCCCAAAACTTGATGCTGATTGGTCCTTTTGAATTCCATATCGACTTCTTGAGATAATCACTATTGCCAAAGATTAACAGTTGCCATCAATTTTATTCCAACACATGGTGAGCCCCTTGTGTGTCAGATTAGAACTGGGCTCCATAGGGTTTCCAGTGGCAGAGTCTTCAGAGATGGACCACCAGGCTTTTCTTCCAAGGGGCCGCTGGGGGTGCTGAACCTCCCACCTTCCAGTTAACCATTGAAGTGGATTGCCAGGGGTTGGGCTAATTGAGTAATCGTGGATCAAATTGATATGGAAAGAAATAGGATTAATTACTGTGATTGACAGCTCATTAACGTGTACCCAATACCGTAGAAGTAGTTCCTCAAAGAAGGAAAGCCGGGTGTCCTGTTCACCACTGGACTCAGAATGAGAGACAGCATGGCCCAGCCAGTCCAGGTGGTAATAGTAGAAATGGCGGTTGCCTTGCATCTCTGCACATCAGAGGGAGTCTGCAGAGAGGCCAATGAATCGCAGACACACCTCGTCTCGCATGCTTCCCTGTCAGGCACTTCGCAGGTACTGTGATTTGTACAAAATGAAGGCTTGTGGCAACCCTGAATCAAGCACATCTATTGTGCCAACTTCCAACAGCATGTGCTCAACTTGCATCTCTGTGTCATTTTCATACTTCTTGTATTATTTCAAACGTTTTCTTAATGCACTTAGACTACAATGTTGTGTATATTTAACTTTTATGTGCATCAGGTAACCAAACATTTGTGTGGCTTCCTTTATTTTGATACTTGCATTATTGTAGTCTGCAACTGAACTTGAACCGTCCCCAGGGTGTCCCTACCCTGTGCCATTCAGCATCTCAGATTTGATGCATATTCTAAGTTGTCGGAATAAAGTTTGCTTCTGGTGCCAATAGAGTTTTTTCTCCTCCCTTTGAGGAGCTTTAAACCTGCAAAATTAATCAGGATATTCATTTTGGCAAATGTGAAGATTACTTCTTAGGAGAAAATTGAAGTATTCCTTCACTGATTATAGCCATTTACTCCACTTCTGGTGGCAATGCTGACGCAAAGTTCCTGTGGTTCAGCCCTAAGCTCAGGAATCCACAGATACATGGTACAGAGAGAATCCCAGGGAGAGGTCCTCAAACAGGGTTGATCTCCATTCTGGCAAGGAGGATGAAGATTCTCAGGGATGTGCCTGGAGCTCTGCATTTCTGCAAAGCTTCTAAGAAGGAAATAAAGAGTAGAGCCTAAAGATTTTCTCCCCATTCTCTTCCCATTCCCACCCTGCTCAGCTGTAAACACAAAAGACCTGGATGAATTTGTCTCACCTGACCCTGGGCCAGGTCCCTCTCCCCACCAATGGAAGCATCTAGAGTGAGAGACTGGCTGCCTGGAGTATGCCAGAACTTCCCTGAGCTGTAGAGCCTTCCACGTCAGATGGCTCTGCAGGTCCATGGTCTGGACGTTTCCTTCTGTAGGCTGCTGCTGCTTCTCTCTTTTTTTAAACTTCTGTTTCTCTCCTGAAGTCTTTAAGTTCAGTGCTGCTCCTGAGACCACTTGTCCATGGCCCAGAGATACTGCCCACCTTGTCGGTCCCCCCTCCCGGGCCTAGACCAGTTTCCTCCGGTGTTGCCTGACATCTTACTCCAGTCTATCCTCTTTGAGTCTCTCTCTATTCAGACTCTCTACTTCAACTTTCCCTAAAATTGTACTAGTAAAGGTAACCAATTACTCATCTCAAAAATGAGCCCAAGAAGTTTGTTTTATATTTTAGTAGCCTTATGTCTCATCTCCCTCAAGCAATCATCTGCATTTGTTGTTGTTAATCACTCTGGAATCAGTTCTGAGTTGTAGCAATCTTGATACAACAGAATGGAACAACATCCCATGCTGCACCGTCTCCCAGTCTCCATTGCACCTTCTCCACAACCGTTGCTATGCTTGAGTCCATCATTGTAACTACTCCATCACCTCATCTGGTTGGGGGCGTATACGTCCCAACAATTCCCCTTCCATCCTGAAATACCTCCCTCACTTAGTCTTCAGATCACCACTTTTCTTGGTTCTTCTTTCTCCGTGGTCCATTCTCATCTCCTCATATTCCTGACTATGAAATGCTGGTGAGCCCTGCGCTCAGTTCTTGGGTCTTTTCTGTCTCTGCTCTTACTCTCTACACACATGAGCTCCTCCAGCCCCATCTCTGTAAGTAGCATCCAAATGCTAATACGTTCACATTTTCTCTGATTACAGATTCATGTGTCTATCACCCTGCTCTGCATCCAGCTTTGACATTAAAATGACATCCCACACTTAGTTGTTGGTTGGCATCAAGTTGGTTCAAAATCAAGGTGACCTTCTGCACAACAAAACAAAACACTGCCTGGTCCTGGGTCACTGTCAAGTTCATTGCTAGGTTTGAACCCATTGTTGCCTCTACTAAGTCAAGCCGTTTCTTGGAGGTTGTTTCCTGACAAGAAAATGTGTAGAGATGTATATCTACATGTCCATGTCCTGTCTCAAACTAGGCATGTTCAAGAAGTCTCTTGTTTTGAGAATACTTTTAACTCTCTATTCAGAAATATTTCCCAATAAAATAAAAAATATTAATTTTAGTGAAAGTTTACAGAGACTATGAATTTCCATTCATTCATTGCTGCACTTTTCTCCCTGCCCCCAGTTCACTCTTCTCTTTGAAAAGTAAAAGAAAAATTCTTTCATTGTTTTACAATCCCTCCCCCCAGGTCCACTCCACTATGTAGCCTTTGGTCTGGACTCCTGTCATGACAACAATACTTAATCACAAATCCCTTTTAAACAATTCTCTCCCTCATCTGTGTCAATGCAGTATACATTATTTATCCCATCCTTCTCAGTCTCCCCCCAACCCTGATGTCATCCCATTTTTTTACATCAGTGGCCCTATGCAATATTTGTCCTTTCGTGACTGAGATATTTTACTCAGCATAATGTTCTCCAGGATCACGCATTTTGAATAACATTGCATGAGTTCCTTGTTTTTCAATGCAACATAGTATTCCATTGTGTGACTATAACATTAGTTTTTTGATGGACACTTGGGTTGTTTCCAACTCTATGCTATTGTGAACAAAGCCATGACAAACATGGGTGTGCATATATCTGCTTGGGTGGCGGTTATGGTTTCTTTGGGATATATTCCCAGTAGTGGAATTGTTGGGTCAAATGGTATTTCTATTTGCAACTTTTTGAGAAAGTGCCATACAGCCTTCCATAGTGATTGCACCATTTTACACTCCTACCAACAGTGAATAAGGGTTCCAGGTTCTCCACAACCTAGCTAGCATTTGTTGTTTGCTGTTCTGTTAAATTTTGTTATTCTTATTGGGATGAGATGATATCTCATAGTTGTTTTGAATAAAATAATTTTTTTAAAAAAAGAACTATTTCCCCAATCTACGACTATGCATCAGAGAGCTAAACAATGACTAGGGAGGATAGAAGAAGAATTGGTGCCTTTGAGCTGTGATGCTGGAGAAGAGTATTGAATATACCATGGACTGCTAAGAAAACAAACAGGTTCATCCTGGAGATGGTTAAAGCAGGCTGCTCCTTGGAGGCAAGGATTCCGAGGCTTCATTTGACATACTTTGGTCATGTTGCAAGGAAGGACCTGTCCTTGGAGAGGGATGTCATACTTGGGAGGGTGGAGGGACAGCATAGGAGGGGAAGACCCTCTATGAGGTGGATTGATTCAGTAACTGGGATAATCGGGGTTGGTGTGTCGGAGATGGTGAGATTGGCCTAGAACAGGGAAGAGTTTAGGGCTGTTGTACATAGGATTGCTATGAGTCACAGGCTACTCGACAGCACATAGCAACAACAACAAC